TGGAAACTTTTACGACCCACAACCTCTTGCATCAAGGAGTTCTCCAAGTTCCCCATGCCTCACATGGAGAGCCACATCTTTCTGAATATGCTGCCCAGTAGTTTTGATTAATAACTCAGTTTCTTGTATTGGAAGGCATACTGAACAGGCAGTCCTTTCCTACCCTCCACAAGATAATTATGTTTCCATAGACTTTTGTGATATCTCCCCTCAGCTGTCCTTTCTTCCAGATGAATGAGACCCAGCCTACTCACACCTAGTCACACCTACTGCACCTCACCGGCTCCAGATATTTGTTCACCCATGTTGCCCTCCAAACCATTCCCCATTATACTCTTTCTATTGTGAGACAAGGAGACCAGGACCACTTGTACTTAAGATCTGCACAAGACATGAATTTATATAGTGGCATGGTGCCATCTAATAATTCCTACTACCTGATTTGCTTTATTGACTGTTACTGAGCAGTGAGGGGACAGTTTTGTAGAGCAGGCTCTTACAGCTCCAGGACTTTTTCCCCCCCCCCCCCCCCCCTTGAGTACTAATGGTCAGGGTAAAGCTAGTAATTCTAATTTAAGAAACTAAAAATGTTGTACCTAGGAACAAGAGTGCCTGCCAGAGACCTCCATAGGGACGAGTCAGAAAACTCAGGGAACAGTGGCCCGCAAAGACAGAACAAGACCTTTACAACGTTTGGATCCAGAAAGATGGTGGCTAGTGACCTGACACAGTCTGCTGAGCAGCTGGGCCAGTACAACACATAAACAATTTAATCCAGCACCTCTTTTACTGAAAATGAATAACAAAACCTTAATAAATCAACAATTACTTATTGCTGTATTTGGGATAATAAATTCTTTAGTTTATCAGTAGCTTGTGGCTTCCATAGCATGTTCTTTGAACAGTTTGCCTTTCAGTTACATCCCCTTTCTCTCCTGAACAATAAATTAGCATTCATTTTTCTTTTAAAGGAAAAGAGGGGAAAAAGAGGATATATTACATTTTTTTCAAAGCAAAAGGAAAAATGCAACATATTTTTGACATATATCTTAAAATAATATGAGGATAACTTTCTCCGCGTGTTAGATGCCTATGCATAAATAATAAAGGACGTTATGTTATTTACAGTGTTACACAGTAAACTAAGAGAGTCTCATTTAACACATAATCCATAAAGACAGTAAATGATGAAAACATCCAAGTATGTACAAGATGTATTTACAATAGAATAGAGGATTACAAATGATGATAATTGGCCATGTTCTTTGTCTGCCCTTCTCTGCAGCATTTCATAGGTGCTTTTTTTGTTTCTTACTAGAAGTAAGTCCCAGCTGATCGTAAGTAGCCACACTGCAGGGCCAAGAAGTGTTGAACAGGCTGAGAAGTGTGTCCTTTGAGGGGACACGAGTTTGCTATCCTGGATGCTCAGGAAACTGCTTGCAATGTGTGTGAGAGAAGCAGGGAGATGCAGCATTGCTGTTTTGGAGGACTGGAAAGAGAAGGAGCTTTCCTGTTTCCCTGATAAAGGCAGTGATTGATCTCTTAAACCTGGGGGTGTTGGGGTGGCTCAAGTGAGGAAGGGAATAGCTGGGCCAAGAGGAGGGAGTAGGTGTTTCATGAGAACCTCTGTGGAGCTGTAATGATTTACACCAGCTGAACAGGCAGGCTGTACCAGGTTGTGCACAACATATTCCAGCCATACACCTCTGAAGGAAGCCTTTTTATCCTGGAATAATTCCTGCATATAAACATACACAAGGAAAACTCATGGCTCAAGTTAAATGACATGGAAAGAAACCAGGACAATCTGAACAACTCTGCCACCACTGGATAATTTCCCCCTCTTCAAATTACGTTTCTCCTTGCCATGACTTTCAGCCAAAAGTTGGCAAGGGTTACACAGTGATGGCCCAAGGGTGTTGGGACTGCCTAGCTCAGAGATCCGCGTAGTGAAGCGAATATCCCCAACAGGGGAGCTGGCCTCTCCCGTAGGCACTTGCTGGCTCTGCTCCATGCTGCTGCAGTCTCCGGCCCCTTGGCCAGCAGGAGCTGGCTGCAGCCTGCCAGCAGAACCTGTGGCCATGTGGACTTGCTAACTTCGCGGTGTGGACTTGACTGACGTGGATCACCCTCACAGTGTGCTAAAAGCAAGTCCAGAGGTGAGGAGCCGCGTCCTGTTCCCACTTCTGTGAGTGCCAAGCCGGGGCAACTCCCGTCACTCACTGTTGCATGAATTGTGCTGTAAGGCTGGGTTCTCCCCAAAGACCTAAGGGCTTAGGCAGCCATATCCCCAATTGTATTTTCTTGTTCTTAGGTCCATGTGAAGTCCCCAGCCTAATTTCACGCTTACCCTATAACACACTACTATATGTACCAGGGGGAGGGGGAGGAGGAGCAGGGACAGCACACCACTTTGACTTTGAGGCACTGCAGCTGAAGAGGTGTGACATTTTCCCCTAGACCCACACTGAACAAATCTCGCAGGTACAGCTCCCAAGCATGCAATTGCTCCTTTGTTTTATACTGGCCCTCTATAATAACAGTGTTAGCAGTCAAATAATTTACTCCACTTCAAGGCAAGTTCCCTTTCCATCCTGATTAATCTGTCTGGGCTATCACAGACACTTCAATGAGAGCTGGCCTTGTGGGTAATCTATACTGGAGATTACAGAAGACCTGTGTTATAATCTCTATTCTGCCACTAAGATGGGTGATTTTGGGGCAAATCTCTTGTTCCTCTGCCATGCCTTTTCTGTCTTGTCTGTCCCATAAGATCTTTGCAGTATCAGAGACCTTACTGAAAAGACAGATATTCAAGTGCCTCTAGAAATTCAACAGTGCAAATCCTTTGGAAACTGTTGGTCTGCATCAGGAAAGCCCACCTGGCCCTCTCTACTGCTAAGTTGCAGAGTTACTGGGGAGATGGATGTTCTGCTGCATGGGATTGCAGATAAATAGGCATGACTAAAGGGATGAAAATGAGTGTATGGTATCTAGAATTTGTAGAGAGCTGTGTTTTGGTCTGCAAAGGCAAAGTGTGTTCAAGTACATGCCAGCTAGGGAAAAAAGGGCAAAGGGGACTTAAGTCCAGACAGTATGTATTTGACAAACTTTGCCATCTCCCATAGACTTCTCAAATAAGCAGTGCTATTTCAGCCACCACGAAGCCCAAAGCTGTGCTAGTTTCCTAGCCTTTTGCTTCTACCACCACCATCCTAGTGTACAACTTTGTCATCATCTTCCTATACTAAGGTTTTTTTGTTCTTTTTCTGCTGAATCTGGCGGTCAGGTAGACTCACCCATGTTCTTACTAATGTGATGTGGTTGATTTATACAGTGAACAACTCACTGATTTTCATTATCCTGATAAACAGTTTCATTTACTAGACTTTGCTTTCAGGTCTCAAAACAATAGGACACTTTGTTCAGCAAAACTCTTAAGCACATGCTTAACTTTATGCATGCGCTGGATGCGTCAATGGGAGTCTAGCACATGCTGAAGATAACTTTTGCTGGGATTAGCATAAGCATATGCTTGAACAATTTACTGAGTTGGGACTTTAGTTCCTCAGGTTTACATCTCACAAAATTTCCTTGACTTATTTCTCTTCATTTAACTGGGACCAGGATGTGGCCCAAAGGATGAGTGTAGTTTGGCTGAAATTCTTTTTCTCTTGACATGGCTCTTATTTAGAGTCCAGTAATACCTGTAGAACATATGTTCTCATTTTCAGAATCCCCGGAGTCTAGGAAAAACATTTGTTTTCCACATCAATCCTGAGTCTATGCTGTGCCAACTGAACACACAACAAAAATCAAAAGAAGAGAAGAGGCAGAGTGACCCTGACTAAACTGATAGGAATTCAGTGCAAAAGAGGCTATTTGCTTCTGTCTGAACGGATGCAACTGCTCCAGCACTGACAGCATCCTTGTTCATTACTTGACAGCATCCTTGTTCATTACTTGACAGCATCCTTGTTCATTACTAGTCAAAGACTTCAAGGCCATCACTGGCTATATGAACACTGGTATCAAATAGCCACGCACACTATGGCTCTAACCCCCATGGTGTGCCTGCCTTCATAAATGGGCTTTGCATCAGCCTTGCCTCTCTCACCCCAAATAATGGAGTCAATAAAGGTGAGTAGAAGTGAACTCCATACTTCTGCTATGTCCGTCCTATTTGCCTATACTTTTTAACCATTCAGCAAATCAGTTCTTCCCTGAAAGTAATTTATGTGTCCAAGAGTAACCCTTACTCCAACAGCAACTCTAACAAGGCATTGCTAGAGGCTTGTCAGGGTTCTTTCTGAGGAGGAGAATAAAGGGGGGAAAACTGGGGGAAAACAAAAGATTAAATAATCTATTAGAAATCAACATTAAAAAATAGAGGTGAAAAGTGATTGCACTTTTATTAGTGGCATTTGTTTTCCAGCTAGATCTCTTCCTTGCTTGGTTACAGATATCTGCTATTATATTTGCCCCATTAACTTAAACTAATATAAATCTTTTTTTTTCTTTTTTCTTTTTTTTCTTTTTTTTCCTTTTTTTTAATAGAGTATTGGGTTCAAAGCCTCAGCTAACCTAAACCCATTTTCTAAGGGATAACTAGAACAATTAATATCTGGAAAATAATGAAATGGCAGCTCCTAATGATTACAAGCTGACCTCTGATTAATAATACATTTGGTTTAAAATCACAGTATTACTTTCTTTCTATAAGTAACATTATTTAATGCAGGTTGGTTTTTTTTTTTGTTTGTTTGTTTTGTTTGTTTGTTTGTTTTTGTTATCCTGCTGTAATTAATAGTAGCATGCTGTTGGATCTACTATTATCCCAGTGCTCAAAGAAGCAAACCTTTTGGCTGGCAGAGAGCAGACAAAACTCATTTCATATACAGAAAGCAAATAAAACTTCTTATAGAAAAAAATTTTTTTTTGTGTTTTTTTCAGCTTTTTTTTTTTTTTTTTTTTCTCTGTGTGTGTGTGTGTTTGTGTTTCTGGTGGGGTGGGTAAGGCGGGAGTGCCATTACAGGGCTTTCTGATCTGGGGATTCTACAACAAGCGACCAGAGGGACTTCTGCAATTCTTGCAAATCATAAATCCAGTCATTATAATGCAGTGCACAAAAAAGCCAGGACAACTGAGGGCTAGAAGGTTTTGCAAAATACTATGGGACAGCAATCATTGTAACTGTACAAAACTTGCTCTCAACGTAACATAACATAAAGGCACCATTGATATCTTTCCCCATTTTTGAAATACTGTAAAAAATTGCTACATATGGCACATAACACATTTGTACATACGTATATTTAATTTATAAAAGTTTTTTTCCTCTCCTGTTTTCTATCAGCGGAATTGCTAAAATAAAATAAATTGTTTAATTTAAAGGTGGAATACTTCATTATATAAAATAAAGTTTTACATGTGAATCTATGTGTTTTACGTTTTATACAGCAATAGGGTCTTGGTTAGCTATCACACTGGACAACCTTGCTTGCAACTCTTCCGGTGTGGAGAAGCGATTTGCCGGGTTAGTCCTGCTCTCAGACAGCCGGTAGGCAGCGGCCGGCTCCAGACTGGTTGCCACGGGGTTCGGTATGCTCAGGAACGGTGTATCCTCGCCTATTCTTTCATCTTCGGTTTCGGTCTCAGAGCTGCTGCTCTCAGAGCTCGTGTCGGAGTCTACTTCCACCCTGCTGGAAATGTGGCCATTGGGCTTTGTTCTTTTGACCCTCCGGCTGTTGGTGAGTTTCTTTGGAGGCTCCTGTGCTGGTTCGTACTCCTGCGTGGTCTCGTACTCCTCGTCCTCCACTATCCGCAGGGGACTTGGTGGCAGGCTGTTGCTCTCGTGGGCAGGATTGTGGTGGAAGGAGTTGAACTGCTGAAGGTGGTCGTCATACTTCTCACGTAGCCGCGGCGGGGTCACCAGGAGCAGTGGACGCTCCTCTTCTATGAAGGGACTCACTGCCACCGAAGGGACAGAGACCGTCAAGCTGGAAGCCGGTGGCGACATTTTGGAGGGGGGGGATTTGGGAGAAGTTGGAGTGTGGAAATCGACGGGTGACATGCGAGCTGGTGTGGTCATAGCTGAGACATACCTGAAGAAAAGAGATGGGGAAATGTTGCAAGCACAGGAGTGGTGGTGACGTGAACTCAGCTGCTCACATGGGCTGGGAGGGAAATGGCAGGGATCCCTTAAGATCCCCAGCATCCTCACACAGGGATACCAAGGAAACTTTCCTGTTCCTATTAATCCTATACAACAGCTGACTTCTGGGACTCTGGGCAAAACATTTGAGAGCAGGAGGAGCACGGCAAAGCCCCCAGGTCTGTTCACCTCAGAAGAGCCATGGAGATGCTGTAAATTATTTGCCAGAATAACTTACTGGAATGAATCCAGGAATGGGATTCAGAGACTGGGGAGCTGCCAGAAACAAAATGCATTTGCAAGTATTTTCTCAAAAGGAAAACGGCTGCTGCACTTCTGGCAGTATTTGACCAGAATCTGGGGTGCACACAGACAGACAGAAGGAGAGAAAGGAAGGGAACTGAGGGACAGTCCTCTTGCGGTTTCGCCCTCTTCTGGCAACTAGATTGTCTCAGGCTAAGGAGGAAGGCAAAGTCTGGACAAAATCTAGAGCCACATTCTGCTCATTTTAATCACTGGGAGTAGCCAGAGGAGGATTTGCAGCACCATCCCAGCAGCTTTGTGCTGCTCCACTCCTTGGGTGCTAGTTACCCTGGCTGGTAGGTCCATCTGCAAAGAAACATGGAGTGCTATTTGTCCTCATGTGGGAACACATACTGACAGAGAGGACTGTCTGGCCTAGTGTTCATGATTGCTCTTCAAAATTTGCCCCTATCCCTTCATAAGCTTCTGTGGGCAGGGTAATGGTCAAAGGTGACTTCTGAAAATGAAGCTCAGGTGCCAGTCCAGAGCTTGTCCCAAAGGAAGAGGACAAAAAATGTGAGACTCTCAGCTGGTTTGAATCAATGGAACTCCATGAGATGCTATGAGGTCATGCAGATTCATGCGAGGTGAGGATCTTCCTGAAACCTCTTGATCAAAGGCACAGTGCCCAGCATGACATTTTGCATAGTTTGGCTTTGCTTTTGTTCTTATCCTAAGTTCACCTGCCTGAATTTTATCTGTGTCCAAATTTAAAATCTATCTAAGCTCCATCTCTTACACAGGCCCATTGAGACAATTGGCTATGATTGATGAAGTTATTTAGGTTTTCATTAGTGATTTATTTATCTGAGTCTGAAATTCCTAAAATAAATCCAAATCCAGCTTTCTTATCCAATCTATTACTCAGTTGCACATATTACACTTGATTAAAACAGAGTTATTGGACAAAAGAGAAACCAGGACAGATTCTGAACTGATATGTAGTAGAGTAAATTGGTTTCAGTAGAGGCACATTGATTTACATCAGCTGAGGAACAGGAGAAAGAAAAACAAAACTGGGGTTATGCATTGGAATTAATCAAGTTGGTTGCTAGTGAGAGCAGAGGGCAATTAATACGTCTGTCCATTGGATGAATGAAGTCATTCTTTATTTTTCCTTCCATGAGTGAGCTTTTCATCCCTTTCACATTTTTAAATAGGCATTGTCTGAAAAACTGAAGCCTTTCCACTCCCAGCTGGTACAACGTTGGACGTACATCTTCTTGACACACGGAATTTTAGCTAAACTGGTTCAGTTAATGCACTAAGTCAAATGTGTTCAGTGTACTGTGCACACTTCCATCAGTGTTAAGTTATTGGTGTTTTTTCATCTTCTCTCCTGTAAGATGGCTAAGGACTTTCTAAAATATAGGTGCTTGGGTCTTCTGCTCATCTAAATGGGTGTCAGGGCATGGGGTCCAACAAAGGGATGGGGTAATGCAAAAGAACCCCTTGTAATATCTATTCTATTTCATTTCAAAATTGTGAAGGAGCTGGGGGACTGGACGGAGGAGGTAGCACAGCCTTGATCAACCAATTCACAGCACAGCAACATTTGGTGGCTTCAGGAAGTAATTTCTTAGCTCATACATTCCTTTATGTTTCAGAATAATTTTTAGTTGCAAATAACTCTCATTTTCCCCCTTATATACACACATATACACACAATTAATCTCAGAAATAATCTACCATGTATTTCCTGCTTGCTAAAAACAGATGAAGCCTAATTTAGTGCCCAGGGAACTATCTTCTGCATTCCAAATTCATGGTTGTTTCAGGCACAGACTAGGCCATCAATGCCTGGTGAATTACCACAGAAATGTTGCTGTTTTTCACCTGTAGCATAATCTTCAAGAAACACAATAATTGATGAAATGCCTTCTTTCTTGTCATTGAAATGCAAAGGCACACGCTCCTTTTCCCCCCACTAAAATCTAAACAGCTCATATCAGAATGATGCTCTGGGTGTCCCAGGCAATGTGGGAAGACAAGGCGAATGATCTTTGCTTCTCACACACAGATGCCCAAATATACCAGGCTGTAATACTTGCCATCGGTGGGCATGTGGCTGTGCATCCTGTATGGTTCCCAGGCAGGAGGCAATGCAGTATTTACTACTATAGGTCCTGATCCAACAAAACACTTAAGCACGTGCTGAACTCTACCTGCAGGAGTAATCCTGCTGATTTCAACAGGACTACTTGCATGATTAAAAGTTAATCTTGTTGAAGTGTTCTGCTGGATTGGGTCCATGGCTGTTTATGTCATGTAAGGCACATATCCTGAAATTAAATTCTGTGGTAAATAACAGATAACTTTGTTATAAGGAGAGAGCCAGTTCACTACCCTTAGTGGTCCTACAGACCTTATTCAGACAGCTCTCAGCCGTGGTGCCTTATCCAGCTGCTAAGCAGTTGTTCTTTGTGTGACAGAGGGAGTACCACGGAAATGGCTTTTGCTGTATTTGCACATTCATTCTTCTGGAAACCACAATTTGTCTCCTGCACAACTTGGTCTCCTTGGGGATTGCCTGGCTGCATTTTTGACATCACGGACATCCCATGAGATCAAATCCCTTGTGATTTCAAAGTGCTCAGAGAATTGGTCCGGTAAACTTTTGTTTTCCTTTTCTTCTGCCTCTGATTGTTGGGAGCAAATCTCTCTTTTAATGTCTTGTTTCTTCTCAGTCTTTCTTTTGCTACTCTGGGGCCATCCCATGCTCTTGAGGTAAAATCCTGGCCTAAAGCTGAGAAGACCTTTTTGGTAAAAGTTTTCTTGCAACTGATGCACTTCAAGGCAGACCGTAGGTACTGATGAACCAGCCTTTCAAAGAAAAAATTACTTTGTTGGAAAACTCCTGGCCAGCTTTATTTCTAACTACTCCTGATTTAATAGTGACCTGGGTTCTCCTGGCTTGCACTTTGTGTTCCTTGCTTTTATTTAATAAAGTGTCAAGGGGAATTTTTGAAGGAGATAATGGATTTAGGAGCTGGAATCCCCCAGAAAGTAGGTGGTGGCAGAATTCCTGTACTGCTTAGGAGTCCTTAATGACCTCCTCCTATGGATCAATACATTGCATTTTCCCCACCTTTTGTGTCTCACAAAATCCCCCAGTTTTCTCACTAGCTTCTTCTAAGAAACTGATAGGCAAAAATCCTTTTTTACTTTACAATGAAAATTTCTGACAAGTTGCTTGAGTGAAGCTTATCCAGATATGAACTGCTGGCTATTAGGAATAAATCCAGCAGAGGCAAGAAGGGAAGAAATGCTTTTGATAGACTTTAAACTACTACCCAGCTCTCCATCTTTACAAAAAAGGAGATGTACGCCCTACCTGAACAGCTGCACTGTTAGGTTTCCTCCTGTGCTCCCAAGCTTTGAAACCATCTGGGAACACCAGGCCTTGCCAGCTGAAAGCAATGAGGTGGTATGTCCTACCTTTCACTGTGAGGAGAGTCTCGGTAGGAGTCAGGGGTCTCTCTTGCATGCCGGAGGAAGCTGTTGCCTTCCCGTGGCCCACCAATGCCATTGAGGCGGCCCCGGGGCCCCGCTGGGCTGGTGTGCCTGCTGTTCTCCATGGAGGAGCTGACGAGCACTGAGTGGCTTTCAGAGAGGATGCTTTCGGTGTGGCCATTACTCCAGCTGGAGAGCAGCAACCAGAAAAGGAGAAGAAGGGAGGGGAGCGTGAGAGGGTGCTTTGGCAAATACAGATGAGCAGAAGTTTAGCCAGGGCTAAAGGAAAGGCTCTGTTGTTGCTCGGGATGTGCAGCATAACCTTCAGGTTGGTAACTGGGGCTGCAGAGTTTTGTCAATTATATGAATACACATGCATCAAGACGATTTTGCATGTGTGGATAAAAGGAGAGGGAAGGATGGCTTTGCAGTCACCAGGACTCTCATTGATTTAGCAATTTGCATATACTAAAATTCACTGTAATGGTATTGGAATGCCATTCAGTCAATAAAGCTCTTTGTAAATTCCTGGAAAGATAATTAGTTAGGTGACATGACATCAAATATTGTTAGTCTTAAAATGAAAATACTATGAAGGAAGCATAGATTTTTCTGTGTTTGGTTTTTTACATATCTTTTTGGTTTTACAACAGCAACAGATCAGCCATTACAGGTGCTGTTTGCCTTCCCCCTCCAGTACCTGTGGCTGGGTGTCTGGGTGACTGTCACGGAGTGATGTGTTGTTGAGGTGTAGTGGCTTGTAGAAAATGAGGTCTCTGTTTCTCGCTCAATGACATGCTCACTGGAGATTATGTTTTTTGAAACGTACTGCTGAAAAAAAACCAGAACAAACCTCAGGTTTACAAACTGTAATTCACAGCACATTTGCAGACATAATTTCCAATCCCTCCCTCCTCCCGCCCAAGTCACAATTTTTTACATGTGCCAAAGCACAAACTCTGTCACTTAAATACAGGCAGAAAGCACAGTGACGTACTTGAGCACATTCATGTACAACTCTGCATACATACCCCATCTAAACTCAAAGTAGGAGGAAACAAATGAGGAAATTAGCAAAGGTCTGCATCCCAATCAGGCTATAACCCACAGACATGAGGAAAAGGTTCTTCACTGAGAGGGTGGTCAGTCACTGGAAGAGGCTCCCCAGGGCACCAAGCCTGTCAGAGTTCTAGGAGCATCTGGAGGACAGTCTTAGTCATATGGCTTAGTTTTAGGTAGTCCTGTGAGAAGCAGGGAGTTGGACTCGATGATCCTTATGGGTTCTTTCCAATTTGAGATATTCTATGATTCCATATGTATTTAACAGGGGAATGTGAAGCCCTCATGGATAGAGACCTGGAAAGGCAACCACCTCTTTCCTACCAGATACATCAAAAATACTATTCTCTGATGGAGAAGACAGCAGTAGTTAGCAGTAGCAATTGTTCACTGCAGGATAAGAATCTGGGCAGGAAATGGCTACTTTCAGTTCCCATGGATGCAGCACCAGAGCAGACCTATTCTTCAGGGGATGATCTGCAGAATGGGCCAAAGCCTCCTGAGATGGGGCTGGAGGTGTGCAGTACCCAACCTCCTGCACAGCTTTCATCTGGAGCCCCCCCAGTGTTGTTGCTGGTGGGACTCTCCATTCTCCTCAGTGGGGACTCCTGGTTTCTTCCCTCTTAATAATCTGGCCATGGATTTAGGTCTTTTGAGGGGAAATATTGGAGGATGAGCTTTCTGAAAAGGTGTCTTGGCCTTAACCAAAGTCAGTGGGAGTGCTGCCATTGACTTAGCAGAGCCAGGGCTCACTCCTGCAATGAGCTGTTATGAATATGTACAGCGATGGTGGAGCAGGAGAGCAGGGATGGCTCCAGGCAGCAGGAGGCCAACATTCCCTCCAGGCACCAGGCTTCCCTGGGAAAGGGAGGAGAGGAGGAAGTGGCTACAGGCAGTGTGAGCCCTGGCCTCTAAGGCCTAGGGGCTTGGCCAAGGGGTTAGTTGAAGAGTAACTCTCTACTCTGCTCTGACAAGTGGCTGAGGGTGCTGGTGGAGCATCTGCCCCAGCCCCATCTCCCCAGCCACCGCTACTGTCCAGGTGAGATCTTCAATCAGACTCTTATCCATGTGTTCATAAATGTCATATTCTTGATCCAAGGGGGCTGTCCCTACTTACCAGCCATTAGGCCAGGGGCAGCAGGAAGAGCAAGACATGTGTGTTTGAAGAAATTGATGCCTACAGCACTTAGCCCTGCTGTAGAGCTGTTACTGTTTTTTTTCTAAGGTGTCCTAGATCCACAGGCACAGCTGCAGCACTGCGGCATGCCCCGGTAAACTGGCTGTCTGCAGAAACATATCTCATTTTACTGCATATTTTTTGCAAAGTCCCTAATTGTTTCTGGGTGGAGAAAGCAAAGATAATTCAGTCATCAGCCTGCAGCAGGTAGAAGTTTAAAAGCTGCGGGGTGAGCTTTGCTGTGGCACTGGCAGCCTAGGCTGAAACGTGGGCAGTAAAACCTACGTTCACCAGCTGGACGTTATCCGGTGGCGGGTTGGGGTGGTGCGGCCCGTTGGCCATGTTCATCACATTGTTCCTTTCTGAGCGCAGGCTCTGCCGAAGGCGGTCGTGCAACTTTTTCCTCTGCTTCCTGTGCACGAAACACAGAAAAGGTTTTAATAGACAAAGTGAAAGCAGCTGCACCTTTCAGCATGTTGATGATGATGATAATAATATAACATCACTTTTTTTGCCAGGACTTTCTCCACCACTGCAAGATCTCAGAGTAACTCTGAAGACCGCAGGTCTAATTGCATCTGGAGCTGTGGGGACGTGCAGAGGGGGAAGGATGTGTGGGAACCCTTCCAGGAGTTAGCAGGCCACAGAGGGATGCGAAAAAGCTTGAGATAGAGGGAAGCCATTTTTAAGCCACAGTCTGTCTCAGGAGCTCTTTCTGCACTCAGAAGGGAGGAAGGAAGGATTGTAACATAGCCACCTTGACACTCGCACCATGGCCACGGCCAGGTTTCTGACAGCCCACTGGGTTACACTCCTCCATTCACCACAGGGTGCTGAGGTGGCTTCGCCTCACGGCTTGCTTGCTGCCATTGGAAGACATGGCACATGCCATGACCTTTGTGATGTGGCAGCTACGCATTTTTTTGTGGGATTCATCCCCTACCTCAACAGTGTACTCCAGATACATAAATGTGTTAAAGAAGCGAAAGGTGCAGAGGAAGCCCCAGAAATCCAAAGTGCGTGACTGTGAGCGGCATGCCTGAGCCTCCAGCCATCCTGGCAGCTCTGGGAGGTTTTCTTACAGCAACGTCAGATTAACTCTGGAACCTAATGATTACCAGCTGGATGCCAGGGCTGCTAATGCATTCAGTAGAACCATCCATTAACCACATGTACTAATGGCATGGCCTCTGGCTGACTTGGAAGCTTCTACTGTGCCCCGTCCTCAGCTGCTCCTTCACTAGTTGCTAATCCTCCCAGGTCTCCTCAAGAGAACTTTTCAGGAGATCATTACATGCTGTCAGTAACAAAACATGCAGCATAGTAAAACCTGGCGCTGTGAAGGCCATGCAGAATGCACTAAATAGAACACAAAAATACATAACCAGGGAAAGAGATCTTCAATTTCAGACTTAATTTATCAATATTCCCCAGTTTTGTCTGATTGTACTGGAGAACTTCCACCATCCTGCCACAGAATCCAGGGAAATGAAGGGAGGATGCAGGCTCCAACGCACTGCAGAGTGGATACGACCTTGGCTGTGTCAAGAGCTAAAATACACACAATTCCCTAAGCTGTATGCAGAAGCACAGATAGTTTTGGCAGGGCAGGACAGTGTAAGATATAACCATTTTCAGTCTCATTTTGAACTCAGGGGGACTATTCCAAGCTTTCAAAAAAGGAGGGGGGAGGGAAAACAATAAATATGTTGAAGCTTGAGAGCCAGGGAAGCTTAAAGACAAAGAAAACATGACTTGACACACTGCATTTTACATATTTTCTTTGTGTGTATGTGGCTAGATAGTGGAAGACATTTAATTTATGTCACTCCACACAAATGGTATAAGCAGACACAGCTGTCTTGGAAATGCTCCTGTCTCAACAAGACAAAGTCCTTCATCCATGTGGGCTTTGTGTTTGGAGGATAACCAGGCATCATCTTAGGACACACAGGTGGTTAAGGCAGATGGAGAGTGCAGTGCCAGGAGATACCTGAGCAGCTACCCAAAGACCTGCCTGGGCTGAGAAGCAACACAGACAAGGGTTTCACTTGATTTCACAGCACCCCTTCATGAGACCCTGGAGACCTTGGCAGCTGAGGACAACCAGAGTCCCCTGACATGGTAGAAAAAGTGGGTTCTAGAGGGAGTTTTGAGTTCATCATCTATGGATCTAAGATCCTGGCACGCATTGCCCGGGAATCTGCTCCTAGGAAACCTCATTACTTTCCACCTTCAGTGATCAATGTATTTGCATTTTGCATGCTTCCATCTGTGCCACTTGTCCTCTAGTAAAAGGCACTAACTAAAAAAAGAAATTACTCCAGGAAACTTAGAAGGAAGAATAATGGGAAAGCTAATGTGTACTGCACTTATTCTGAGAAGCCTTTCCCTTAATGTAAATGATTTGCAAATAAAGCACCTCTGAATTAAGAGTCAGTGTCAGAAGATATTGCCTTAGCATTTGACCAGCAGCATCTCTTCCAACGAGACCAACAAAATCATTTTATTTAGTGTGTTCTCCTAACACCGTTCCAGGGTTTCCCCTGGTTTCTGGGTTTTCCCCTATTAGGAGGAAAGAGCATGCGGGGAACATCCATACATAGCAGTCTGGCATCACTGCTGCATTTGGAGGGCCATGAACTGGCATCAGTGAAATCACTGTCACCAGCTGTGTTTGAAAACATTTCAGCTTTGGCTGGCAGTGATTGTTGACATCTGGGACAAACTATGACAAAGCATCCAACTCCTCATGGATTGTGGGGGCTCTTTATATAGAAAACTGTACTTCAGAACCCTGACTAAATGTTTGTTGAAATTAATGGGGATGTCTTGGCTGATTTCAATGAACTTTGGATCAGAAAAGATATTGTTTAGCTGCCCTGGCTTGCCAGTTGTCATTTCTAAAAGCAGCAATTGATCTGATTCTTTATTACAGTTCCAGTTGTTCCCCACTGACCACTGGCACAAGGTTGTGGGTGGGAGCAGTGTGTGTGTGTGGCTAGACTCTCACTGAGGGGGCAAATGATTTGCCTCCTCCTTCTCTTTTAATACATCCATTATTGGTGGGGCTTACAAGGAAAACCAACAACCCAACTGCCAATCAGGCCCTACAACAGTAAATCAGCTTTATACAAATGTGGAAGATTTATGATAAGGGGTTTCTGTGTTTTGGTGGGGAGATTTATAAGAGCAGCCAGAAGTTTTGGCAGCACAAATTCTGCTGATGTACAGTGTAATTTATGGTCCAGAGTGCCGCATGCATGTTTGAGAGTCTCCCCCAGTAATTTACGGAGACTCACAGAATGCATTTAGAGTGCCTACTTTTGCATTGGGAGCGCTTTCGCATTCAGTTCTTTGGCCTTTGGTGTTTAGTAACTTTTAGCACCGTTAATCTTGCCTCAAGTCCAAACAAACTAGACTGATACGTAAAATTTACTGCCAGAGAGCAACATGATTCCCCTGTTGGGGTTTGTTCCTTTCCAGCTGGGGAAACCAGCTGGAACGGGTGATAGACAAAGAATCGCAAGTCAGTGAAATTCGCTCAAGTCACATCTGAAGGGTGAGAAGCCTTTCAGACACCTATCTTATTTTTGCACTGCTGATGGACATGGATACCTGCACCCATCTGACTTGGACCAGAGCACCCTGGCCACAAGTTTGTCTCTTCAGCTCAGATGTGGAGAAACCCAGATACAGTCTTAAAGCCCAGAGGAGCAGAAGCTACAGTCAACTGGGAAGGCCCTGACCAACAACCACAGATATAAAAAAGAAGAAAAAGATTACTTGGTTTTGCAGTAGGCCACCACACACATGATGCCAACTACTAGAAGAGCAATGCAAATGCCAGTTATGGTCAGCACCCGTTTCTGGTACAGTTCCTCAGCTTCTAGAAAGGGACAAAAACAGAGAAGGTCACAACATGGAGGATTGCTAGGCAAGGAGCACACAGTCAACAGCTGGCATGCTACAAACCACTGCACAGATTCACACAGCCACATCGAAACACAGCCACCACACTTCAGGCAGACTCACTACTGACTGCAAGGAGAACAGGACTACACCATATGCTCTTAACACAGTACTGGGGACGAGCGATCATCTGTACAACTACAGTCAAAAGTAATCTTTTTTTTGTTTAAGTCAACAAGAATAATATCTAAGAAACAACTTCACAATTGAAAAACACTCAGCATTCGCTGGAAATAAAAATGCAATGCACTAAAGTAATAACATGAATTTGCAAATGCTTTGGAAGTTTTACTCTGCAAAGACAGCTGGAATGAAGGCCAATTTTATGGGTCTTAAGAGAAATTTATTTTCTTATTATCTTTTGTGGATTGTTTTCATAGCCAATGTCCCTCTGCCCCCATGTCAATTTATATCTCAGTTGTCTTTACAGGGGAGATTTCAAAATATCCTTCTACGTTTGAGACATGAGCTTGGCTTGTAACTATATCACCAATGGAAATGAAGACAGGTTTTGAGTTCTGGTCATAAAATTCAGACTCTTTCTCCAGTGCTCCTTCAAAAACACAGCAATATCAACAACGAGCAGTGCCTTGTATCAGAGAAATGCTGGGTTTCTACTTGAGTCTCTTTTGTCCAACAAAGGAACTGCTCTATCTAGAGTGGCAGCTTGCTCAGTGATGACAACTTGTTACTGATCTCATTCATCAGAGATATTTCACTATTACAAAGGCGTTAGTAGCACTGGTAATGTTTAGGTTGGAGCTAGCCATGCATTCCAGCCTCGCTCATGCTTGGCAGAGAGCGTTGCTGTGTGCTGTGCTGGGGAAATGTTATGTAAGGAGCGCTGAAACAGAGGCGCGTTCTGTGTTGATGCTTTACGGATGTGGATTTTTGCTTTTAGGACAAAAATGGGTGTCTAGCTTTCCTCCAGTATTATTTCTGATTAAGCAGATGGTCCAGAAAACTTGCCTTGGAGGATCCAGACCAGAAGGTGGCCTTAGGTCAGACTGCAATACTGACTACAGTCAGAATACCAGCAGGTGAATAAAAATAAATGAATGAATAAAAGCTGCATAGCTCCACACTACCTTTGGGATAAATGCCAG